ATACTAATGGAGCACCAAGTCTAAAAATAGGCTCCCTCATGACGGCACGGAGCTTTGCTGCCCAACTCATCCATCGGAACTGCAAAATATCAAATGGGAAGAGTGACCCGTACAGGCATCTGCGTGCTGGCGGAAGGAATCCGAAAGCTGCTCCGTGTTCGCATCTCAATGCTCCGTATTCAACCTTGAGACTACTGGCCATTGTCGAGGCGCCAATGATGACGATGCAAATCAAGCCAGGAAGCGCCCCGTGGGCTTCACTATAGGCAGGGCTGAAGCCGTGGCGGTCCGCCGCAATGGATAAGATCATAAGACGAGCTCGAAGGAGGAATACTTCCTGGTTGTGCCATCTGCAACCTGCATCTCAGCCTCAGCTACCCTTGCCACGCTCTGCTGTCAAGCTGTTATGGTGGCGGCGCCTCAACCTGCCAATGGTCGAATAAGGTCAATGGGCGACGGTGATCAACAAGGCTGGATGTGTGCCGACTTCCCGGCGCCATTGCACATCAACGCGCAAGCCGAAATTGCGAGTTCAGCTGTCGTAGAAGCTGATTCAGTATGGAGGAGGTGGGTTAGGTTGTGAAAAACCGACTCGAAGTTTGCCTCTCTTTTTATTCACCCCGACCCCAGGACGAGCTTGTCTCCTTTGCCCTCTCCCCATCATTTGTCTTGATCACCAAAAATGGCATACGAAATGACCAGCCCGCAGGGCCAAACAATTGTGCACCAGCAACATGTCCCCGCGAGACGAGGCATGTCACGCTGGTGGCCCGTCTCCTTCTTCATCGCTGCCATCATCTTCTTCATCATTGGGGGAGGTCTCATGGGCGCATGGGCTGCCAGCTTCGACGGCTACGCCTATTACACCGACGGCAACTGGTATGGCGCCATCGCCTGCTTCGTCATTGCCAGTCTTCTCAAGTTGACCGCCTGGATTCTTCTCATCGTTTGGTGTGTAAAGGGGAGGAACCGGGCCCAGCCATCGACGACTGTCACCTACGTCAACCCGCCGCCCGTGAACGGCGCTTATGCCGTGCCGCCGCAGAATTACTTCCAGCAGCCTTACAGTGCGGATCCGACAAAGTCGCAGGCTCCTGCTCCGGTCTATCAGAACGTCGAGCCTGTCCCGATGCAATACGGGGAGACGGCGCGCTATTGCGGCAACTGCGGCAATGCTACTACAACACCATTCTGTGCTCAGTGCGGGGGAAAGGTTTTCTAAGTCGTTGTGCAACGTCTGCGCGTTCAAATTGTTGAGAAGATGATGCAAAGGGGAGTTTTTGGGGCCATGTCGCATGTTGACGATGCTTGGTGACTACCTAGGTAGTTGGCAACAGGGACTCGGGAAGTTGTTGCCGTGTGTTTTGAACCGTCGATTCGTCTGCCGATACGGTTGAACGAGGATAAGCTAATCTGGAGTCAATTACATGAAGCCAGTTGTGCTGCATACCGTTCTCTAGTGTCCTCTGTGTAACAATGTCAGGAGTCGGTCCTAAGACGAGGTACCTCGAAAATTATAATGCAGCTGATTTCCGTGTTATGTCATTGGTCAGACAGTCAAGTCACATAGCTAGATCTTGAAACGATACTGGTATCTGGTCCATCCCAAGGCTCTTTATCCTCTGATTATCTTGCTATTTCCATCTTCTTCACTCCCGCTGCGATAAGAGTGGCATAGGCAATAGTTGTCAGAAAGTGTCTCTTGTCCTCGTTCTTCAACAGCAGTTTCGGGTTCTTTATTCTCTCTGGCTTCTTCGATGCAATGTTGTACTTGGTTGGCGCAAGACTGCAACCACTGCCCGTTACTGTCCTGCGAGCAGAGCTCATCTAAGCAGACTGCTCTAGTGTGCCGTTTAAGAATCCGCAATCAACTCGAGCCTATTTTAGTTGAGAGATGCGTCCTCGGCTATCAAACTAGGCTACTAACCGTGAGTTTCTCTCTAGTAGAAGGCCAATTAACACCATCGTTGGGCCAAGTAGTAACGGCACACTTGCTGCACTGGTTGGTGCACATTGTTTGAAGCTTCCCTCGCCCTTTCCTATCGTCTAAACACAAGATTAGCAGCATACGACAAGACTGACTATTAGTAGGAGCTCATACGTCGTCTTTTCAGACTCTTCGTTTGGCACTGGAGAAGCCGCGCCAAGTCCCGTGGGCTTCGGCCCATGTGCATCCAAGCACTGCTCCGCGGACTCGAAGCTGCTGATGGTGTGGATGAGGTTGCGCCTATGCGGATCGTCAAGACTTAAAAGCCTTGCAGAATTCTTTAGTGCCACAGGTCCTTTCTGCAATTGGCGTATTATCGCCACGGCAAAGTTCATGCGTCCAATTTCCCAAAGTGGACACGGCCAAGATGATTGTCATTGTGAATTCTTTGGATTCTCCAGTCCAGCATAAAGTTGGGCTCGCCACAGTCATGCAATGGGTCTCGGTATTGATTGACCGTGGGATCCCACCGGGACATGCTGCGGTGCTTTATTCCTCCCTTTCTTTGAGCTTCCTTTGCATTGTGTATCCTCATCCCGCGTGGTGCTTGGTGTGTTATATTGGCATCAGGCCATTGCCAACGCCAAGTCGAGCACTCCGCAGCCCATTCAAGCACTCCAACGCCTGTAAGTCTAGCCATGAATGATTGACCTGACAAGTCAAGTTGAAGTTTGTGGGGATTCTCCCCTGAAAGGAGCGAATAGGGGCACTTTTAGTAATAAGAGCACTTTTGATTTATATTAATAGCTATGAATCATGATAAAAGTATGTTTATAAAAGAGCAATAATTTTTTAATGTTAACTTGTATTGATAAGAGATTTTTATTAGCCCATTACGTACTTTCTCCCTCACGAGTCACATGCTCTTTCTAATAATTCCTCTTAGTTCAATGTTGGCTGCAACCCCCTTTATCATGTGCTAAACATTCAGGGTCTGAATTGTACTTGAATACATACCTTAGGTACATGTCCTACACGTGTCGGGTGTCGGGGATACATGTATTGCTCAATATGGAAAGAGGAGTACGCAATGCCCTCTTCTGAATGGCCCAGCAGCAAAACATGCCCAGGTACAAATCACTGCCGGCGCTGCTGACGGACCATGACATGATTCTGACCAACTTTGCGGCCCGGATATCGGGGCCGGGAACCACAGAGCAGTTTTTATTAATAGCATCACATCGGTAAGCGGGCCTCCACGGGGACTCGAGTTGGAACCCGAGAGGGAGGAGACAATGACCTCATGTACGTTCCACCTCTTGGTTCCGGTTAGAGCAGTTGTTTCAGCCGAAACGGGAATAAGCGCTCTCTGCCCTTGGCCCTCGGCCCCGAGCGACGAAATACTACTAGTACTGCTAGCACTAGTACTAGTACATACAACACTATGAACATCCACAGCCGCGAACAGGACTAGACTGCCATTTGATATAGTATTTTCATCGCCTAGCGCGGCAATGACTCTGTAGAGTTTATCCTAATTGCGTTGATCCATTGTTGTCCGCCCACTCGGAGCCCGCCAGCATCCACCGACTAATATCGATGTCGTCGGCCTTGTTTGTTATCCGCCCACAAAGTCCCCCTCTCTCATGATGAGGAATCACCGCAGAAATAGACGACGCAACCATCGGCGATTATCCGCTTGTTAGCCGGCCGGGTCAGGTCGCCGAGTTTCAATGCGCCCAGACAGACGTCCCCCCCCGTCTCCCTGGCCGCGCCGGAAAACCGCTTGGCCGTGAACTAGGCATTGCATTTATTTATAATCAGCATTATGGCCGATTGGTAAGCTACCCACTTGCGCCGTGGGCTACATGTCATGTCCACAGTCCCGGCGCCGAGCGCCTCGAGGTTTGCGTGGAGAAGGCCTCAATAGAGATTGGATGATTCTGCATGTCACTGGAGGAAAAGTTTAAGTAGTACGCGTACCCTGATAGTTTGGAGACGAGTATATCAATTGACTTTGTCCCACGACTCCAAAACACTCGCCTCCAACTTCAACCATCCTCACGCACACCATCAACTCAAACCACCAACTCCCCAAAAGTAAACCATCACTGAAAATGGCCAGCCTCAAGACCATGACCCTCCACTCCCACGCGGGCGGCCCCAACCCGTGGAAAGTAGCCATCATCCTCGAGGAGCTCGGCCTCCCCTACGAGCACAAGTTTCTCGACTTCAAGCAAGTCAAAGAAGAGCCCTTCATCTCGCTGAACCCCAATGGCCGGGTTCCCGTCCTCGAGGACCCCAACACCGGCATCAGTCTCTGGGAGGTACGTACTAATAAAAAAGGCACACTTTGACAGTGCCCTTCAACAACAACTCAGACCCCCGTGCTGACAACACACCACACAGTCTGGCGCCATAATCGACTACCTCATCGACACCTATGACACCACCAACAAGCTCCAGTACACCAGCACGCCCGAAAAGTACCAGACCCGCGTCTGGGAGCACTTCCAAATGTCGGGCCAGGGCCCGTACTTTGGCCAGCTCATCTGGTTCACGCGGTACCACCCCGAAAAGCTCCAGTCGGCAATCGACCGCTACGCCAACGAGGTTCGCCGCGTGACGGGCGTCATCGACGCCCACCTGAAGAAGCAAAAGACCGAGTATCTGGTCGGCGACAAGCTGACATATGCCGATCTCATGTTTGTCCCGTGGGCCGTGGCGGTTTCCAGCATGGCCGGCGACCTTTTGGACCTGTCGGGCTATGACGCCTACGACGCCTGGTTTGCCAAGTTGAAGAGCCGGCCGTCGGCGGCCAAGATCATCAAGGAGAGGGAGGCGGCTCTCGCTGCCAGCCATTAAGATGTGAGCCGGGCATGACCCTGGGGCCCGAGACTGGGGTTATGATGTGAATTGTTCATGATGGGAGATGACAAAGAGTCAAATTACAGGAATTCTGAGACGGGAGCTAGCAAAAAGTGTCAACTAGGGTAAATAAGGTAAAAAAAAAAGTATCAGGCGTTTCACCAGAAATGGTAATCAAGCGCCAATAGTTGCAACACCTCAGCTCTCATGTGCCAAGCTCTCCAGCTCTGTGATATGACCTTGCAACAGCCCGCCTCGTGGGTCTGCCTTCGACAACTGTCTCGCCAGTGTCGCTCCTCTGCGCTTCCGTCGAATCATGTCCGCAGAAATCACGGTTGTCGCGCTCACCTGGCTCGTTGAAACCGTGCACGCCTCCCCCCCATCCGACGCTACGTGTAACCGTCTGCGTCACAATATCACAGTCGTAACCGAAAGGCTCAGTCTCCCGCAGCGGCAAATGGTTGAACCTCCAATCCAGCACGGCGGCATACGTGGACCGGTACGAAGCGACGGCCATGACGATGCCAATCATCGATCCACTCACTATATCGTACCAGTTGTGCGCGGCGTCAATAGTGAGTGAGCAGGCTATCATGACGGCTGCGAGCAGTGGGCTCATTGTCAGTGCTAGTTTCCAAAATGCCGGTTTGTGGTCCGCCCAGACTTTCAGCTTCGCATTCAGCCAAAGAAACAAGAAGAAAAAACCCGCAAAGGCCGCGGTTGAATGGCCGCTTGGAAATGATGTAACCGCCTCCTTGAGTCGCCAGGTGTCGGTTTGCGTGCATACTTCTGTGGTGTACATGACTTGCTGGAACCCAACCGCGTTCAATCCAGTCTTGTTGTGTCTTCTTGCTAGGGAGATGTCCGGTTCGCACACATCAAGAAAGTATGGTCGGAATCCGCCTATGAGCTGCTTGATAGTCACTTGGAAGATCGTCCCAAGTGAGACGGCCCACATTGTGCCCATGATGGCATTGCTGGCGTCCCAAGCCGACTTGATTCGAACCTGGGCAAGCAGATAGACAAGTATAGGTCCAAGGATGGAAACCAGCCCCGAGAACCACGCTGGCAAAATCCAACCGCGGTAGGGGTAGGCCCATTCGGGATACACGATATCCCCCGAGCCATTGAATGTGATGGGAAAGGTTCGCACTACCTTGATCGGGGCATAATAAACCTACCAGTCTCGTGTTAGTTTTAACATGGGTACACCCAGGATGTGAAGGTGGTCATGTCGGCACGTACGCACATACTCAAGGCGCCGATGGTTAGCATCAGGAGCACATCCATCCAATTCAATCGAATCCACTCCTTCAAGAATGCTCTCAAGTCATGAAGAAATGAAGGCTGACCTAGTGACACCGAGTCTGCCCCATTTGTTTGCGGCATGGAAGGCATGGCCAGCTGCCTGTCCTATGACGATGTCTTGGGTGGTGGTGCCGGATAAAGCACTCCGCAGATGGTAGCTTCTAAAATGAAACGAAATAAAACAAATCCGTAAAAAAAAAAGAAAAAAAATTGACGATGAAGATGTGTCAGTGCGTGTGTGACGTCGAGGATGAACGCCATTCCGACCTGACGTCATGTGACGTGGTCGTTGCCTCGTGTACTTTGTGCTTAAAGGAGCCTGCCCGTCAATATTCCTGCCTTGCGTAAAAGTACATAGAAGCTTGATTCGAGGCGCGATTTACGTCTGCGTGGATAGGAAGTCGGAATTTATTCGCATACGTTTGTAAATGCTTCCTCCCAGTTTATATCGTTCTGTCGTGGTCGTTGGCCGATTCAGTCAGATGTGGTATCACCGAGTTGACAGGTCCCCACTTCAGCTGGACCACATCGTCATCCCAACCAATATCAAAAGCCCGTTGTCACGAGCTGTGAAACAGCCCATTCATAGACACCCACATTACACGAAACAAGAGAAAACGAAATACGACACGTCCTTGAATAAGTGGTTTGCTCATTTCTATTGTGCCACGGAAAGTAGGCAACAGCAATGCTTGATACAAAAATAGTCCGAAGACGACAGCTGACAAGTCCGAACCCGACACCAGAACCATACACTATGTACGCTCCAAAAACAACTTCCACCAAGGTATATACATCACGCAATTTACAGAGCAACCATACCAGCACCAACGCAGAGGGCCACCAACATGTAGAGGCCCACAGCAAAGTCGCCAATGGCGAAGATACGGGCAACGGGGGCGCCATGAACGGCAAAATTGTCGCTACTACTAGTAGCCTTGGCATTGCCGCCGCCGCCGATGGGAGAGGTAGCGGTGGCGGCTTTCTTGTTAGTGTCACTGGCCTTGGCCAGGGCATCGGAGCAAGAGGAGTCAGAGTTGGCACTCTGGGTCTCAGCGGAGCCGTTAAAGTCGCAAGCATCCTTGGCCTTCTTCTGGCTGCTGTAATAGGCATCAAGAACGTAGGCAAGCTTCTCCTCATCGCTGCACATGCTGTAGGCACCGTAGACACCAGTAGTGGCATTGCCATTGATACCGGCACAAGATTCGGGAGAGGCGTCGCAGATGAAGCCAAAGATGTCGCCGAATTTCTTGACAGCAAGGCCGGACTTGGGGACGCAAGCACGGGACTTGACCATGCAGGAGCAGAGACTCTTATCGGGGGTAGGAGGGAGGGCCTTGTTAGCCTGCCAGTTGTCGGTCAACTTGGGGCACTCGTTCATCTTGCCACCGGGCTTGTACTCGGACATTTCCACGGTCTTGGGCGTGGCCCCGTTGACCTTCTTCTTCAGGGCGTCAAAGTCCTTGAGCTTGGTGGCTTTGCCGCCAGAAACCTTGACCAGACCGTAATCGTTGGCCTCCTGGTAGTACATGTAGACGATACCACCGCTGAAGGTGTCAGTCATGTCATCAGAGTAGAGGGCGGTGGTTTCGTCAAAGATACGGTTGGCAGCGCCGTCGTTGTTGCAACCATACTCGGCAAAGAATACAGGGACAGAGTAGTTCTCAAAGAATTTAACCTGCTGATCATAGCCGGACTTCTGCATAGAGCTCTTTCCACACCAAGAGTAGATGTTGTAACCCCAGAAATCAATGGACTCTTCGACAGTGTTGCAGTTGAAGTAGTCGGCAATCTCAGCGCGAATATCCTTGTCATCGTTGGCGGCGTAGCCAACACCAAGCCATCTGGTAATCTTCTTGTTGTTCTTTATGTAGGCCTTGGTGTCTCGAACAGCGGCCTTGACAAAGGCAGAGGCAGCGGTATTGTTCTTAGCGTTGGAGACCTCGTTTCCAGCAAAGAAGCCGATGACGTTGGGGTACTGGGCAAGCTCATCAATGACAGCCGTGTAACGCTCAAACAGGGCAGTGTTCCACTGAGGAGTGTCGCGGTTGATGGAATTGTCGGGCTCGCTGAGATCGGACACGATGTAAATGCCGGCATCCTGCAGCAGCTCCATGCAGGCCTTGTGGTCGGCCTTGGGGTCGATGGCGTAGGTTCGAATGACGTTGGTGCCGAGCTCCTTGAGAAGAGGGACATCACGCTTGCAAACAGTCTCATCGGAGAGAGGGTCGACGTAGTTCTTCTTTGTATCGGAGGAGGAAGAAGAAGAAGAACCACCGGCGCCGACTTCCTGCTGGTAAGCAATACCCTTCATGTAGAACTGAGTTCCGTTTTTGTAGAAGAATTTGGAGCCCTGTATGGATGCAATTGCTTTTGTCAGAAATTGGTTTCTAAGGCGTAATAAAAACAATGCTGTCAACGGACCTTGACCTCGATGGGCTCAATGTCGGCGGCGGCCAGGGCGTTCCCTGCGACGGCAAGGAACGCCAACGAAAGCTTAGCTAGTCCCATGTTGGCGGGATTCCAATACTGCAAATGCGGAAGCTTGTTCTCTTGTTCTTTACGGGTTGAACAGTTGCAAGTGTGAAAAAGAGAAAAAAACTTGACGAGTATTTCCAAGGAGTGTCAGGAATGTAGTTCAAAAAGTTGTTGTAGCTTGCTATGGACGATAAGGAGTGTCAGAAAAGGCGTAACAAATGAGGCAGCCAACCTCTATTGGTAAAAATTAGACGCGTATTAAAAAGAAGAAAAAGAAGATGATGGAGAAGAGACCTCAGAGCCAAAACCGTAGCTTTTGAGATCGGGAAACGAGTGTGGTTTTGACCAAAGTCAAGTTGGAGAAGGAACGAAAGAGAAGGCAAGCCGACAACACAGGAGGCGACCACAAGGTACTGCCAGGGGTTGCCATCAGATGGAGAATAAGGAAATTGGCTGGCGCCAATCCCTCAAATGGATATTCAGGGGGCCAGCGCGGGGATTGATTGGCTCAGGCTAGCAGACTGGGTCGAACGGGCATCCAGACGGCACGGTTCAGCGCAAGTTTTATTAGCCACCGGTACAAAACAGGCACACGGGGCCAAGTGCCATAGAGCCAATAGGAGCTATTTATTAGGGGGAGGTCGAAGTACATTTGGGCATGAAGCACCTCTATTATTTTGTACCGAACCTAATGTCATAATTTAAAACATCCTTTCCCCATAATTCTCTTTAGAACCTCTCGAATCGCTGTCGGCACCTGTCTGGAACTCCCCTATGTCGCCAGACTTTCGGCCAATGAAACAAGGCACCTGGGGGTTATTTACACCAGACCAGCTGTACATAACGCTTACCGTAGGATCTGACATCGACCGACCACATGCACAGGCGGGAGGCGTGAGGCGCTAGACCCCCCAGCGAACCCCACAGCAGACATCAGCGTAGCGGCACAGCCTCTTCGAACCCCCCAGTGCCCCGAACAGGCTTAGAGTTGCATCACTGGAACTCATGCACCGTCCAACTGGCTGGGGCACTGGGCCACCGTTTCTTCCCTGAACAACTCCTTGGGCAACCCCCTGAACGTCCTCTGATCGCCCCCACTTCTCCTGGCCAGCGCGAGGCGCAGCACCAGGAACAGACGAGCTTGTTTGTGATGATCGGTCCAGGGGCAATCTCCTGGCGGGCAATTGGTGACATCTGGACTTTGATGACTGATGAATCTTCAAGACGGGTGGCCAAAAGGAGGTGATGCCCGTGCTGGTTGGTCTGAATGGCGCGCGTTGGGTCGTTGGGTGGGCGGCTAGCAAAACCAGACACTAACGGCATTGCCAGAGCATCTCGGTCCGTCCTATCCTCTCGCATCGACATCTTTCAACTTTGCTGCCGCCTTTCCGTTGAGCACCTTGGGCGTCAGCCCTGAAACGCCAATTCCATCCTTCAACTTTGCTGTCAATGACATTGTCTTGTCAGTCAGTCTCATTGCCACGCTTGTTCATGCAGGTCCGCCGCCAACCCAGACGAACCAGAACAGCGTTGGCCAAGTGGGGCCTGCCTAAGTAGGCGGCTTCGATGGGCTTGGCTTTGCTTCCTGGCAACAACCACATCTTCGTTTCCTCCGCATCTCTCTCTCTCTGTCTCTGCCTCGACACGGCGTCAAAAGTGCAAGCAGCCTACGACAAAGGTAGCTTGGCATTCGTTAGTCTCCCAAAACAACCAAAGACAACATACATCCAGTGCATGCCCAGAAGCACAGAAAGAATGGGACGACCAGCATCTCCGCATTTGGAGCCATTCGAGCCATCCTCACCTTCGCCTGACACATTCTCCAGAAACAACCACTCGATTCCCCAAACGCTGCTCCGAATTCAGCATGGCAGTGCAGAGGCGTCAAGCTCGTATTGCCAGAGATTCACTCCCATCACTGAGCCATCTCCCCTTTTAGTTAAAAATAAATGCCGTGTGTTGACTTTCGGTTAGTTTCTGCAAATCCTCCCCATCCACAATTCTGGCAGTGCAATGGGGGGCAGAATGCCAATCCGCATCAATATTGCTGATTCCAACTCATGTGCCTGTCCAAACTCGGCATCATACCAAGATCGAAATGCGTATATCAAAGCAAGCACAGTAGATTCGCGCCGGTAGCCCAATTCGTTGTGGAAACCGTCAGAATCCAACGAATGCAAACAAAGCTGCATTCATTCACTTGTCCCGGGCATAGCCACCGTTCCCACTGCCTATTCATACTTGCCATTCTCATCTCCTCCGCTTGTCAAGTGTCACCGATGTCAGGATGAGCCCGCTTGTCTAGCTCTCTTTCAGATTCTAGACTACGCGTCAGCCAAAGTGATCGACCTTCATCCCTTGACGTCCACCATCAGTTACCCATTCCTCGGATCCCTTTGGCGGTCCAGCTACTGCAGCCGAGTCGCTGGGTGGTGAACTTCTATTGATACAAAGAACTGCTCGCAACTCTTGGCTTTCAGCAAGCGACGGACGAGAAGGTCTCGAAACTTGGCCTCCTGGCCAACTATCGATGTTATTCAAGCTGCCAAGCAACTCAACCCCTCGTGCCGCTTTGGTTGCAATTTACCACGACCAAGTTTCTCGCTAAGAGTCTTCATCCGCTGCCGAACCCGTCTCGATTCTCGTAGAAATTGAAAGCATCCACATTGCGCCGGGCCCATGCTATATCCTTGCGTGCCGCAATCTCAGTCTGGTTTTCACTAGGCTTATAACAGGCCAGCTTTGCCGCTTCACCTGTCCTGGTTGCCAAGAAACCAAGGATCACACTGTTGAACGGGCCGCATCGTTTGTTCGAAGGTTGGGCCATCATCGTCCCACATACAGTGTGTTGTATGGAGAATGCTGTTGTGGCGAGGCTCTCGATGATCTCCCATTTTCCCATCTACTTGCGTCTGTATAATCGTTGCGGCACTCATCCCCTAGAATGCTACTCCCAGCCACGAGCGCCTGAGTTGAGATAGTTGAGATTGAACAGTGATTGGGAGGATTGTCGAATTCTCCAGCTTTGTGGATCGCATATTATATATCACTTTTCAGCATGCTTCTTTGCTTCAGTCCCAGTTCCAGCATGGTCAAAAGGCAGTTGCCTCTGGATGTCGTGCGCCTAGAATTGGTGGCGTGCCCCAAGACACAAGACGACCAACCGATGCACTCCAAGGTCTCCAGTGAACAGCTCCAGGTCTACGTCTTCGTCTTCGCGTTGCTGATCGGCTGTGAAAGACCACGGGCCGGACTTGATAAATGTGGCGGCTGTTGTTGCAAAAAGTTACCTGTCACAAGCCTTTGCCTTGTTGCTTCCCGCACGTGCTCCCTTGGAGCTTAGGATTGCAAACTCACATCCATGTTGACGCTGACGGGGTCTTCTATTTCGATGATTCAACAACCTATGATAATGATCATCATTGCGTGACAGATTGATCAGGGTTGATCACATTATTAGTATCTACAGAGTTATGGTACATCTACAGGCCAGGGTTTTTGGCAAGAAAGCTGTCCTTATAAGGCACTGGGATTCTACATTCGACAATTCGGCCACTCTCCTCCGACAGTCCTCGATCTTCTTTTGCTGCGATGGTTTCCCTTCGCCGGCATCTGCGCTTTATGCAAACACTTTGAGGCTTCAAGGTCCGCTTCTAATCAATCACGAGGCTCAACATGACTCCAAGCATGTACTTTGCAGCCCTTTGATTCAGCGTGGCGTCAACAAAATTTCCCCATTGTTTATCCTGTTCACACATTTCGAACGACCGTTCTATGACGTCTTCTGTATGTAGTTCCCGGACACTTCGCCCGCCACCACGTCAAATGCAACCCCCCCAACAATAACGGTCTCGGACGCCAACGGCCATGAGTTCTTCGGGATTTCAGGCCATGTTGAATTTCCTGCTGTACATTAAATGTTACAAATTCGACAGCATCTCGCTCGGGAAATTACCTAGGTATCTACTGCGTTGAGCGGGAAAAGTGCATACGAGTAGAGCCAATGACCAGTGTGAGAGTCATGATTAGATTTGACAACACATTATGAGATCGCCAATCCATTTACATATCCCATTACTACTTCCTCCCTGTGGGGTACATACATCTTCTTACAAAACTTGGAAATGATGTAACTGGCTGTTTGGGGGCTGCTTTGACCAGTAAGCAGTTTGGCTATGTGAGGGTGTTGTCCGCCAGCGACTCTTGGTGATGATGCGTCATGATGTCATGTAAGAAGACGGCTAGTCGCTATATATATATCTCGGAGGCTGTTCAAGAAATCATAGGTTGTATATCATTCTTCGCGGGTGTTGAATGAAACATAATATCGGCAAGTTTCAAGCATACTGTATTCTTATTTCTAATCCATACGGCCACAATGTCTTCGGTCCAAACTCGCAGTGGAGCGTCTAGTGCAGGCACCAAGGTAATATCATGGACGAGCCGAACAGGATCCTCCCCTTTGACTCACTCAAACTAACAGCTCAGGTTAACGCTGGCAAAAATGCCCCCGTCACGCGTGAATCGGCCGGCGACGTTCAAAACGATTCCCTAGCAGCAGAATCATACAGAGCCGATGGCGAATTCGCCAAAAACCGCAATGCTGAGCCCGGCGATGTTTCCTCCAGAGCCATTCCTCGCTCCCATGCGGATGACTCTACTGCCGAATCCGCGCCGTCATGTGTCAGCAGCCAACACGTTCCGGACAAGGGCGGCCCTCATGGCAAGAATCTGAAGGGAGGTGGTTTTGATAACCAAGATGTACAAGATGGTGTCCAGAAAGCATTCGCATCCGAGCCCGGTTCCATCAACGATCCAGGCAGACTTGCAGAAGCAAAGTTTGAGCATAGTGAGGCAGCAAATCCGCGAGTGGCAACTAATAGGGATGTTGATTTGAAAACTGAAACGGCATATGACGGGCTAGATCCAGACGTGGACGCCTAGTCTACTGACTGCATGTATACTTTTAATCGTTTCGATCTTTTTTCGTGTACCGCATAGGGGAAAAACGCCATTGTTTTCTTTGTTCCTTCGAGTGGTACCCATTACAGTGATACAAAGCCATATCTAAATGCACATGGTTTAATCTGCTGCCTGGCGCCGTGGCACCGCACGATGCCACCTTGGGCGATTGAATTTATGCGAAAATGCAGCTTCTAGGCATCAGCTTTAGCAAAGAAATCTATTTAGCTCCGCAAGGGGGGGAGACGTATTCGGCATTTCGTGCGTTCTGTACAATATGGAATTATCGCAGCTGAGAGAGCATTGATGTGATATGACGGGCATTGCGGTGAGATCTGCTGCACAGGACTATATGGGACATACCATGCAGTAAGGCTCTCCAACCCAACGATTGCAAACAAGGCAAAGGACGGCAGTACTCACTGGGATGCAGTTGTGACTTTCTGTCGCTGATGAGACACACTTGCATCTGTCGAACTCAGAACCGCAAAGAAAAAACAGGCCAACGCACCCCAGAGGACATGGACACTCAAAGACGAGGCATCATTGCCGACAAGTCGACAGATCCATCCGTATACCGGTCGAGACCACAGAATTCAGAAAGCTCAGCTTTGGTGCATTCAAACGGCCGTTGTTCTAGACATCTGTCGAGAACCTTGACGTCCTTGCCATATCCTGGTTACGTCGAGGGCGCGGAGGAGTTGGCGAGACGCACGCTGGGAGAGGCACAGCCTCAGGTGGTTCCAGCTGAACTTATCATGGGGAGGCTACAAGCATGAGAGACGCTGTGCGCCAAAGGCACTTTGTTCATTTGCTCGTTGCGAGTCTGGAAATTGTGGAAGTTGTCTGTTTGGAATTGACAGTAACCAAATTGGAAAGTGGCCCTGAGCATCCAATTCGACGTTTGCGGCTGTCTACTACAAACCAGTTCTATACCCATTACGACCTACTGATTTAGATAAAAATAATAGAATGATTGCTTGTGTACTTTCCAAATTCTACAGTCCTGCAGATTCGGGTGCTTGAATTGGAACCACCCCAGCGACCATGCACAGTCGCTGTAGGGTAGCGAGCCTAATAGGGTGGCAAAAATTTTTATCAAATCTTATCGGGCAAGAACGGAAGGCACAACATGACGTCAAGCCGTCGTAACTGCCGCCCACCAAAAATTTATCAGTCGTGGTACACAAAATGGTGCAGCCGTACATACAACCAGAAATACGAACTGCTGGAATGACTGCTCCATTGAGCCTTGCACTGCAATAAAGTCGCATAGGAAATAGCATCCCTCTAGTCCCTGCCCCTTTGAAACAAACTTCCGCCCCAGTGGCGATGCCGAAGGAATTTTGTGTGCCCTGGCTTAGTTAATGCCTTAGTTTGATGCCTGACATGTATCATTAGAGTCAGAGTCTGTCTTATCGAACCAAAAAATTCTGGCTGCGCCCCACCATCCAAAAATCCACCCCGCCTCCATTATCTTTTTCGACGGCTTTTGCCAGCGGAACCTACGACTCGGAGTGCAACACTTGTCTTGCCGCTTGGCTCAACCCTTTTCTTTTTCTCTTCTTCATCCGGAACAGACTCACACTTATTTCCTAGTCGAGCATTTGTGTTACTGTGCCCAAGTAACGCACGACGACATACGGCATTCGGTTTCGTGACGTTCCTTTGAACCCGACAACCGTCCCCTCGCTGTTCTAAATTTTTGTTCACCGTTCTTTGTCGTTGTTTTCTAATTGAACCGCCGATATGCCTCCTTCCGCTTCCAAGGAAAAGAGACTCGCCAAGAAGGCTGCCGAGGGCAAAACCAAGGCCGGAAAGGGAGCCAAGGCAAAGGCCAAGGAGCCCGAGCTCGATGCCAACGGCAATGTTATCCAGGACGACGCCCCCGCCACTTCTGGAGAGAAGCTTGACGAGGTGAAGCGCCTCGCTGAGCAGATGGACAAGCACGGTATCTCGGATCGAGTCACCACCGGTGTTTTGTCATCGACCCATGCCAGCAAGGACGTCAAAATAACCAGCACCAGCTTGGTGTTCCACGGCCGCGTCCTCATCACCGACTCGACCCTGGAATTGTCCTTTGGCCGCCGATACGGTCTCCTCGGTGAAAATGGTTGCGGAAAGAGTACACTCCTCAAGGCCATTGCTGCCCGAGAATTCCCCATTCCCGAGCACATTGACATCTATCTTCTGAACGAAGGCGCTCCTCCCAGCGATCTCGGCGCTCTGGAATGGGTTGTCAAGGAGGCCGAGATGGAACTGGAGCGTCTCGACAAGCTTGCCGAGAAGCTCCTCGAGGACGAAGGCCCCGAAAGCCCCGTTCTTATTGACCTCTACGATGTATGGACCCTTTAAACCTGTGCCTCATTAGCAGGCTGCTAACATATTTGCTCCTACAGCACATGGATAAGATGGACCCCTCGACCTTTGCCACTCGTGCCTCACTCATCCTCACTGGTCTCGGATTCAACAAAAAGACTATCCACAAGAAGACCAAGGACATGTCTGGTGGTTGGAGAATGCGAGTTGCTCTTGCCAAGGCCCTGTTCGTGAAGCCTTCGCTGTTGCTGCTTGACGACCCCACCGCTCACTTGGACCTCGAGGCCTGCGTGTGGCTCGAAGAGTACCTCAAGAAGTGGGATCGTACCCTCGTTCTTGTTTCCCACTCAATGGACTTCCTCAACGGCGTGTGCAGCAACATGATTGATATGCGTGACAGACTCCTCCAGTACTATGGTGGTAACTACGACTCTTACCACAAGACTCGTGCCGAGAATGAGACGAACCAGATGAAGGCCTACACCAAGCAGCAGGAAGAAATTGCCCACATCAAAAAGTTCATTGCCAGTGCAGGTACATACGCCAACTTGGTCAGGCAAGCCAAGTCGCGACAGAAGATTCTGGACAAGATGGAGGCCGACGGTTTCATTCAGCCCGTCACTCCTGACAAGGTCTTCACTTTCCGATTCGCTGACGTCGAAAAGCTACCCCCTCCTGTCTTGTCCTTTGACAATGTCACCTTCTCTTACTCTGGAGACCCAGCTGATGACCTGTATCGCAACCTGGACCTTGGTTTCGACATGGACTCCCGAACTGCCCTTGTCGGCCCCAACGGTGTTGGCAAGTCTACTTTGCTGCGTCTCATGACTGGCAAGCTTTCCCCCACCGGAGGTTCCGTCACTCGCCACACCCACTTGAAGCTCGGTCTTTACTCCCAGCACAGTGCTGAGCAGCTGGATCTCACCAAGTCGGCGCTCGACTTTGTACGAGACAAGTACAAGGAGAAGTCCCAGGATTACCAGTACTGGCGTCAGCAGCTTGGCCGATATGGTTTGACTGGCGATTCGCAGACTGCTCTGATGGGCACTCTCTCCGAAGGTCAGAAGAGCAGAATCGTTTTTGCCCTGCTGGCCATTGACGGGCCCAACATGCTTCTGCTTGACGAGCCTACCAACGGTCTTGATATCCCCACTATTGACAGTCTGGCTGATGCCATCAACGCCTTTAGCGGTGGTGTTGTTGTCGTCTCCCACGACTTCCGGTATGTGCCAATGCCAACTTCATTTTGACAAAGGTTCGATGACTAACTGTTGCAATAGACTTTTGGACAAGATTGCCAAGCAAATTCTTGTGTGCGAAAACCAGACCATTCAGGTATGGGACGGCACAATTGGCGATTACAAGAACTATCTGCGCAAGAAGATGATTTCAGCTGGTGCTGTGTAATTGGGTTTAGTTTCTTTGAGAATGGAAATAAGATTGAATACTTGGGCATAGACGGTATGACGAAAATGGCATGACGGGGTTTGCGACGGCATGATATATAGCGGCGGGCGGCGTCGTCATCAGGAATGACGTGAACCAGGAAACGCCGCATTGACGCTGAGGCATGGCCGCGATACCCTTTTAGATGTGAGTTGCATGCATTCATGACCAGATGCTTGTGTTACGGGATAGACTTGGCACATTTCTTATTTGTCCCCCCCCTTTTTTTTGGAGGAGTCGTAGCTCCAACGCTCTGCTCAAATAGCAGACGTCTACATAAAAGAACTTGTTGCATACGTAATTACTGCGCAAACATGTGACTTGCGCAAATATCTCCGTGAATTTTGACATTTGTCTCTGTGAGAGGAGTACACCAGAAACCCTGAAGAGGAGATGTTGAGATTCCCAAAAGGCTTCACAAACAGCAGCCTCCCTTGCAGCGAGGACCAATAACAATGGAGGCGAACATTGTGCTTGACCTTCAGCGTTGGGCCAAGTGGGCTTCGCGTGTTTTAGGGAAAAGTGGACCGTGACCAAAAAGACGGCGGTGATTGGATTCCAGTCGGTCCCCCCCCTCTCTATTTGGAGCTTCTTGAAAACACCACAACATGGCCTGCTTACTGCTTACTGCACGAGTTTTGGGTTACATGGCAGGCGCGGCTGCCACAATCCTTGCGCGGTTGCTGGCCAGGCGGGTTTGCCGGCATGAACAATGCTGACGGCAACGCAGGCCCAACCTTGCCGGAATGCTGAGGTCTCGAGTCAAGAAGCATCACGCCCTTCCCCCTTTCCTACATGGGTCAACTACCCGGACGGAGTACATGTTTCCCTCCAAGTTCTTTAAATCAATGGAGCTGATTTGCACCATGGCTCACCGAAGCCTTGAAATGCGGAGGGCGGGAAGAAAGCTGACTGCAGGCGCTGCGATTTGGGGCTGAAAGGGGACACGGAGCGATTGATGCTTTCTGGTCCCACGGCATGGGCGGCTGCTGTACGCCGCTGGCAGCACTTGGGTCGCCAAGTTTGCTCCCCGACCAACAATTAAAGTGTCAAGGTGATTTCTTGTTGGAGGGGGGGCGAGATGTCAACGCCTTTCAATGTTGTGTTTGAGGCCGCGTGCGCTTGCATCTTGATGCAGGACGTGACACTAGGCCGTTAGGTGCGATTCTTCACCACCGGGCCAGCAGCCTATACCGACAGAGACTCGGTACTACTGATAACGTCAAGTAGCAGCATCATTACCTGCTGCTTGGCTTGTTGACTTGACTCTTTTGATCTCGCTGGGTTTGGGCCAGATGTCCAGTGGTTTTTGTCCTGACAGCCATGTCTCGGGCTGGGTGGGTGCTTGGAGGTACCTTGTACCTGGCGATTGGTCTTGGGTGACGCCAGACACCTTGACTTCAGCACTGGCACACCGTTGACGGCGGCGTTCCCTCTGGGCGGTACCTGCCTTGCCCTGCGCTTGCCTCGTGGTACTACTAGTAGTGGTACCTCCGTGGACGTGGACCAAAAGTAGCTCCCGCTGACAGATTCCGCATACGTGCATGTCAGAGCCGAGGGCGACTGCTCATTGGCTGCAGGCTATTTCCCGGGTGGTCCCCGGCGATGTCTCTGACAACTTTAGAAGATAGCGTGGTGTTTATAAATGGCCGGCATGGCCGTCGTTGGCGAGGCATTTCACCGCGGCCGTCGTGGCGGATCGGCAATGTGTTGGGCTTTGGAGGGGGATCTGGCGACCTATTGTAGAGTCCAATTGCGTGCCAAACCATTGGGGGCAGAATTTTGTCGGGTGTTGCGGGCGAGAGTGTGTGTGGTCGACTGGTCGTGGTCCAGGTCGGGGCCCCGTTCACTTTTGCTCCAAGTTGACTTTTCATTCTCGAGGCAGAGATAATACCCACCTGCGCACCACCGGGGACGTGGCTCACCCACACACTGGTTGGTTCAGGATGGAGAGATGGACGCCCGCGTCGCTCGCACGAATCATGCCCGGCATACGGAGTAGATAGACCAGATCCACGACGAGACTGGACGAGTTGGAAACACGCAAAGGCCTCAAGTATATCTGTGCACTTTTCGGGGTTGAGTGAATGTTTCGCAGCCCTCTAGCTCCTCCGGATGAGTGGTCACTTTGGCTTGTAGTTGTATATGTACTCCGTACCATTGAAGGTACATATACTACCCCGTACCCCGTGCTCCGTCTTCTGTACTGCAGATCAATACTGCTGTTCCTGCCCTGGCCCTTCGGCTGCAGTCCTGTAGATGCTCGCATCGGCGCGGCTTGCCCGGCTCCACACGATCCTGGCAGGTACACACATCCCAAGTACATGCTGGACCGTACTTACATGCAGACACAGGCATGTATTCCGGACTCCATCCTCCGGGCTAAGAATACATACATCTGCGTGGTCCAGCGTCGGCTCCTGGCGAACTTGGGGCCAACACGCCAGACCAAAGTGCCCAGGTGTGCCCTGCTGCAACATCATCCGCCATCACAACTCGGCTTTGTCTGTCCCAGCAGGGCATCATCAGTGGCTGTGATTTTCTTTTCCGCCTGCCCCCTTTCCCCTTCTCTTTGCATCCTTTGACCATCCCCATCGCACCTGCCTCGACCATCGGCTGCCTCAACACCATTATATCGCCACCTAAAGTTGGCCGGACATTATTCCTGGGACTCACATCCCGGAGTGGATTTAACACATTGACTCGCCAGACATCACCGGCGTACCGCTTCTCCGCGTCACTCGCGAACGAGACCTGTGGGCAATTCATCCGGCCCATGCCAACCTGACTCTCGTGAGCCATCTTGCGTCTCGCATCTAATACCCAGGTACTTGCTGCACTCGGTGTCCTTGGCCGTGACCGGCGTGCGCCTTTACATCCCGGGCGAGGAGAGCAAGCAGCGCCGAATTTTGCAGAGCTGGCCAGAAGCCGACCTAGATTTCCTCACGCGCGACAACCTCTACGTTCTCGCACGCATGGGTTCGTGGCCTTAGACCACTATTTTTCGTAGCCGAACAAACGAGACAAGTCCCAAGGCACCGCCGGCTGGTCTTGGCTGTGACCGTCTCTGGTGTCTGGAGTCCCTCGCGAGTTGCGCCATCTCCGCGGCCAGCCAGGCTGCGCAGCCATAGACTCACAGCAGACTCACAAACCCTCGCGCGCTGCTGGAGACGCATTGCTCTGCCATGGACAACAGCTTCCGGTCGACGGTGCTGCCGCGGGCGCAAGGCGACGGCAAAGGTGAGGCACGCGGCGAGGGCGACATGGACAGACACGGCCGCGGCCACGACAGACACCAGCACCACGCTGCGGCGCGCGACGTGATGAATGCGCATGCAGGGAGCGCAGCGCTTCGGCACCTGGATTCATCCTCCACAACCGCCAGTGCGGCCAGCTTCAGCCTGCGCTCACCAACCGTCCCAACTGGCTCCGCCCACGCTCACGCCCACGCCCACACCAGCGCCAGCGCCAACGCCAATGCCAGCTCGGCCTCTGCCTCTGCCTCTGCCTCCATGTCTGCCTCGACTTTCCATGCTCCTCCTCCCTTTGCATCTCCCGGCCGCAACACCAACGCCAGCATCACCACCTCGGCCAGCGGCCATCATCATCACCACCAGCACAACCACGGCGCTGCTGCCAGCCCGCCCCTCCAATCGCCTCCGAGGCTGTCGCCGCCGCTGCACCACAGCTCCGTCGCTCACCACCACGCCATCGGCACCGGACATCGTCACCACGGCCACGGCTCTGCACCCGCGGCTGCCGGCCGTGTAGCATCGTCATCTCCCTACATGGCGTCCTCATCCTCATCGCCAGCCGGTGCTGCTGGTCCCCCGCCGCTGCCTCCCCCCTCGACGTCCTCGAACCCGCCCACGTCGAGTAGCCGCGATCATCACCACCAGCACGGGGCACCTCCAGTGTCGCCTCGACACCCCCCGGCGTCATCGGCATCCAATTACTACCCGCCGCCTGCCTCATCGCCCGACTCTCATCATCAATCCCTTCACACTCGCGACAAGCCGGCATCAGGCCGGGTCTACGACCCCACGACCGACACCACCAAGGAGCGCAGGGTATCCGACTCCTGGCACAACGCGCCCCAGAACTCCACGCCAAAGGTAAGCCGTCGCCCGAGCCCAATCCACTTCTTTTTTTTCTTATTTCACTCGTGCACGGCACTTGTTGCTTCCTGCCTTTTCAAAATTTCAACACTTAACCAAGCCAATCAACAATTCCCCTTCCTCCTCTTTTGCTTTGTTCTTCCGACTGCACTTGCCGTCGTCCATCCCAGCACCAACACGGGACCATCCAACAAAAAAAAAAAAGGTCCCCAATAGAAGAGGTCACTACTTTCATCTGATCCGCCTTCGTCGTGGTCATCTGCCATATCATTTTGACACTTTGTCATCTGGGGGCTTGTGTCGTCAATTCTGAAAAAAAATAAAAAATTGCACACCACCCGTGTTAATGGCTCCATGGCTGCGACTTGTTTCGCCTCACGCGTTTTCTGACTCGGACTAATCTGAATCCATCGCCACAGACTGCTCGCGACCCTTACCCCTACGAGCGGACACCTGCCGACCAACATCACTCATCCTCATACTACAGCAACAACAACGGTCATTACACGTCGCCTAGACCGTCATACAACAGGCCGCGAAGCCCGCTATCTCACTCTCACCCGAGCTTGCCAGTTGGCTCTCACAGTCCGCCGGGCCGCACAGCCCAACTCCCCTCGCCTTCAGAAAGACATGTACCTGCAGCCACTTTGAACTCGACCACCAACGGCTCCTCCGCCATGTCAACCATCATCAAGTCAGAGCCCCGCGCGGTCTCACCTTCAAAACCCGTGTCTGCATCATCGACAAATGTAAGCCACCTCTTGGCATTAAGACGGTCCTGTTTGTATCATTTTTCATCTCAAACAGATGCACAGCTGTTGGTGGAAACTCGGATGCTAATCT